TAAGGAAAACACAATATTTCAATATTTTCCTTTGTTTTCGAGGGCAAAAACCTACTTTGAGCCCCTTATCTTATTAAATTCGAAGGTTTTAACCTCTTACCTTATATTATGATACTTTTAACCCCTTATCTTATTAGATTTATAAGTTTAAGCCCCTCACCTATTAAAATCAAAGAAAATAACCCTCACTTTATACTGACTATTAACTCTATTAGTTAAAAATATATTTTTTCAACTAACAATCAAATAATAACCAGTTAACATAATTAATAAAATATTATAAAATTACTTATGTTAATTTTGTTAACTAAAAGAAGGTTTTTGTTAATTAACAGTCAATTAACAATCAGCTAATAGAGTTAATAGTCAGCTAATAGAATTAACAAAATGTTATAAAGTGATGATTATTTTCTTTCATTTTAATACTTGAGGATTAAAAGTGTCATAATATAATTTGATGAGTTAAAATCTATAAATTTAATAAGATAAAAAATTAAAAGTATTATAATATAAAATAAGAAATTAAAACCTTCAAACTTAATAAGGTGAGGGGCTAAAAACAAATTTTCACCTTCTTTCCAGGATGCTTCCCGTTCATCATCGAACTTTAATAAATTAGGTTTTGAGATTGGGCGACAAAAGCAAACAAACCTAAAATGTTAGGTTGTAATAGTTTGTGGTGCACACCCGCAATTTGGCTGCGTTGGTCCAGGTGTATCTAATTTTTGGCTTCCAACAGAGTTCAAACCACAATAGCAATCCCTATCCCCTTTCCCCCTAATTTCCCCCTGTTCAAAAAAAGTACTAGTTTGTTATGCCAAATGTATGATGAATACCCTATCTGTTAGCTTCTGCAATGTATGGTGTAATAGTTAGAGACTTAGAGGTATCACTTGTATTTTTTTATAATATTTTTCTGCTAATAAAAAATGATAAATAAATTTAAAATTTAAAATAATAAAATGTTTTGAAATATTTAAATACAAATATTAGAAAAACACTTTTATTTTTTATATCAGTACCAATAAAGTCGAAATTGAAATAATTGAACGTTGCTTGTAGCACTGCATTGAATGCCTCCCGTGCTATTCATCATCCAAATCCTGAGAACCATAATTGCAGTTTTTTTTCTTGTTCTCATGGACCTACCAACCGTAGCTTCATTGAAATGCAAGTTGGGTT